GGGATATTTTAAATTGCATTGTTAAAAGCAGTTCTGGACAACAAAATTGTCCTCAATATTTTATTGATAATGGCAATAAATGTGCAAAATATAAAAAAGTGGTTTGACAGGAACAAACTAAATCTAAGTAAAACTAAAATCACAATTCAATTATTGTTGAATTAACCCTAACCCTATTACTGTTATTACTATTATTGCACAGTACTCTCCAATTTATGCTGTGAAACTTTAACATTAGCAAGGTAATTTCGATTTACATGTACAATAAAAATAAAGGGCTATTCTGTTCTGTAAAGTCTACTGGCTGTTGCTATAATGTAAACACGGTAGAAGTGTCTTGAGGCAAACTGAGGCAACTATTTCTCATTTTAATGAGGGCACTGTCAGTGACCTATAATAAAAATAGGTTACATGGATAACACTAGTTATTTAGAGTTTCATCAGGGTTTTTATTTAATTTGGCTACCCCACTGAGAGTCCAAACCATCTACATTAACTAAAACAAAGAATTATAACTGTGATTATAACATTTCGTTTGGGCGGTCATTTGGTTCAAATAAGCCAGCTCTATCGAGGTCACAATGTCAACTGCATGTGCTTAACTACTACGCATGCTCGTTGTGGCGTGTTTTACGTTGTGCGCAGGCGCAGTTCGTCTAAGCGGTCATACGTTATAAAGCCTGAAGTTCCTCTGTCTCTTTCCACCTTCAGCCATTTTGACAATGTTAGGAGCTGTGGGACGCTGCTGCACCGGGGCTTTGCAGGCTCTGAAGCCTGGAGTCCAGCCCTTGAAGGCTCTTGTTGGATCCCCAGCTGTCCTTTCACGTGAGTCCTGCATGCTCGTTGTTTCTGGAAAGAAGATTGTTTAAAGAACAGACGCATTTACGTGGCTGTCAGAAGAGGGCAGGGACCATGCTAAACTTAGCTGGTGCTAGCAACACGCTGGCTTAGCAGGCCTTAATATTAAAATGTACATTTTAAATCAGCCGGAGTGTTTCCAAAACATTAAATGGGTACACATGTGTGCAAACAGATCTTTTCATGGTTACTTCGCATTGTGAAATGAGCAGACTGTATTATTCTTGTGTTATTAGAAATGACCTCTGTAATGACATGAGGCGGTCGAAGACTGCTGTTAGCATTCGTAGTTGCAGATTAGCAGGGTTAGACAGTCGGTAACACGGTTCACTTTTGTGATACGTGTGGAGGTAATACAGTGCCAAAATAACAAAACTATAAAGGGAAAAACAAAGTTGTGTCACTGAGTTTGTGGCCAAGTATGCAGCATTAGCAATTCTAGCTCGGAATCGCTATCCATTCATCTGTCACTGTTGGCTCTGACGCTATTTAGTGGGAGAACTCGCTTATTTGCACTTAATAAAATAAACTGAAATTTTACTGAATTCTGCTTAGTACTGCTGTTTCACTTTCCAGTTTAAAAACTTATTCGCAGATTAGCCTAAGCCACTTGACATTGAGATGTACCGGCCGGACACACAAGTATAGAAGCCCTTTTCGGTGCTTCTTCCGGCCATAATGCATAACAAGGTCACAGCTGCAGCACAACTGTATGACACTCAGTGGTTCATGTTCCAGGTAGAGACTATGTCGCACCTGCCGCCGCTGCCAGCACCGCCAACGGACGCATTGTGGCTGTCATTGGTGCCGTTGTCGATGTCCAGTTCGATGAGGGTCTCCCTCCCATTCTCAATGCTCTGGAGGTGGCAGGCCGTGAATCCAGGCTAGTCCTGGAGGTGGCACAGCATCTTGGTGAGCCAGCTGGATTATACTCTTCACCTACCTAGCTACAATACCACTAGCAACTCTTTCTTAGGTTAAACAGACACATCAAAATCACTTTCTGTTTTTAGGGGAGAACACAGTGCGTACCATTGCTATGGATGGTACTGAGGGTCTGGTCCGTGGACAGAAGGTTCTGGACACTGGTGCCCCCATCAGAATTCCAGTGGGTCCCGAGACCCTGGGCAGGATTATGAACGTCATCGGGGAGCCTATTGATGAGAGGGGTCCCATCTCCACCAAACAGTAAGAACACTTTGAAAATATCCTGCAGTTTTTTGTATGAGGTTTAAACATGCACAGTCTGAAGCAATAATAAAACCTGTTATGATAGGACATATATAGATGCTGTGCTTTTAAATGTTAACTGGTGTGTTCAGTGATTACATTAATCTACTTTTTTTCCCCCCTTCTTCCCAGGACTGCACCTATCCATGCAGAGGCTCCTGAATTCACTGACATGAGTGTGGAACAGGAGATTCTGGTTACTGGCATTAAGGTTGTGGACCTGCTGGCTCCCTATGCCAAGGGAGGAAAGATCGGTATGAGCCCAAACATGCCCGTTTTTTCAGCCTTGACTTTGATGCGTGATAAACTAACTTGGTTTTCTCGACTTGACAGGTCTGTTCGGTGGTGCCGGTGTAGGCAAGACTGTATTGATCATGGAGCTGATCAACAACGTGGCCAAGGCCCATGGTGGTTACTCTGTGTTTGCTGGTGTGGGAGAGCGTACCCGTGAGGGGAATGACTTGTACCATGAAATGATTGAGTCTGGTGTGATCAACCTGAAGGATACCACCTCCAAGGTGAGGACTGTGGAAAGCAACTTTAAAAAGATGCATTTTTATTACAGCACATTCCAAAATGTCTGATTTAACCAAACTCTTGTCCATGCTAGGTGGCGCTGGTGTACGGACAGATGAACGAGCCCCCCGGTGCCCGTGCCAGAGTTGCTCTGACTGGATTGACTGTGGCTGAATATTTCCGTGACCAGGAGGGTCAGGATGTGCTGCTCTTCATTGACAACATCTTCCGCTTCACACAGGCTGGCTCTGAGGTCTGTGCAACTTGATTTAAACCAAAGCTTTCCTTAAAAATAAAGATTTACAACTGCTCTAGCTACACCACACATCCAATGTAAAGATTCTCATTTCAAAAGTTATTTTGTTTCCCCCTCTTCCTCCTTCAAATACACTGATTCTGTCAAACTGCAATCTTGATGACTTCACCTTCTCTCTCAGGTGTCTGCTCTGCTGGGTCGTATTCCCTCTGCTGTGGGTTACCAGCCCACTCTGGCCACTGACATGGGTACCATGCAGGAGAGAATCACCACCACCAAGAAGGGTTCAATCACATCTGTGCAGGTGAGGTTTGAGGAGTGCTGAGTCTGCATTTTAGAAATCAAAAATCTATTTACTTTGACATAAGCTGGAAACTATCTTACTGACAGTAAGGAATAAATCCTAGTTTTATATGTTGCTTGGCAACCTAAAGGGTAACCTAGGACTTCCAAAAATGCTAACAAGTCCTGTGTTTCCAGGCCATTTACGTGCCTGCTGACGATTTGACTGACCCTGCCCCCGCCACCACCTTCGCTCACTTGGATGCCACCACCGTGTTGTCCCGTGCCATCGCTGAGCTGGGCATCTACCCTGCTGTCGACCCCCTGGACTCAACTTCCCGTATCATGGACCCCAACATTGTCGGAGCCGAGCACTACGATGTTGCTCGTGGCGTGCAGAAAATCCTTCAGGTTTGCAGCTTTATTGGTACCATTAGAATTAACATGACAACTATAAGTGCTTCAAACAAACTAGGCTACTTTCTTCTTCTGTAGGACTACAAATCACTACAGGATATCATTGCCATCCTGGGTATGGATGAGTTGTCTGAGGAGGATAAACTCACTGTGGCTCGTGCCCGTAAGATCCAGCGTTTCCTGTCTCAGCCATTCCAAGTGGCCGAGGTCTTCACTGGCCACTTGGGCAAGCTGGTGCCCCTCAAGGAAACCATCAAGGGCTTCAAGAGCATCCTTGGTGGTAAGTTTGAATTGTCCATTTTTTTTTTTTAATTTTTTTTTTTTATTTATGTTTTAATTTTTTTATGGCTTGTGATCCTCAACTTCCTCAGCTCTGTTTATAATTTAATTGCCTTTTTTGTTCTGTTTTCATTTCAGGTGAGTATGATGCTCTGCCCGAGCAAGCCTTCTACATGGTCGGTCCAATTGAGGAGGTGGTTCAGAAAGCTGAGAAACTGGCTGAGGAGCACTCATAAACATCCAGACAACCTAACTGAAGGGAAGAGAGAAGAGTAGAAGCAGAGAGGCCCTGTGGTTAGGAGCACTTGGTTTGTAAAACATGTCAAAATACAAATGTACCTGTCTTGTCATCCTGAAAAAGTTCTATTTAATGTTTCCAGTGAAAGATGGAATAAAACAGTCTTTACATAAAACTCATCGTTAACTGCATATTTTCTCAATGGTTATACTTGTAGTGGAAAATCTTGTTGCTGGTAAAGGAGTTAAAGAAATGGCTGTCCTTGTCTACTTTGACCAGAAGATGGCATTCTGGAGCTGCTATGTTAAGCTATCAACTGTGCTGCAGCTTGTCACATGCTGAAATAAAACAGTTGAACAATTCTGTCATTCTGCAGTTGTTTACTTGGTCAAAGTAGTCAAGACGATCTGAAATTGTACGTTTATATGTACAAATTAAGTCAACATGTGCCAATTTACATGCTTTCCAAAAACATGTACAGCAGAGTTTTATTGAACCTAAAAAAAAAGGGGGTTATTGTGGCTAAAACCTATTTAATGCTTGAATCGGGGGTAAAAAAAATAAAGTTGGTATGAAATCAAATCCTTTCTAAAGACAGTTGACTGTCATGCAGACATAACAGTGTTGACAGATGCAGCCAGTTTGACAGACTAAAACTAAATATTTAAAACGTGATGTTTCAGAAATAATTTTATTTCAGTGTTTCAAGCTTTTCACAGAAGCGTTATACAAATGACCACTCTAGATCTCAAACTGCTGTCAGACGCCAGCAGGGACTATATGAATATAAGAATAAACAAAAGCGTGAAGGTACTACCTAAATACAGAGTTTTGGCTCTAAATCTGGTTTTATTAGAAAGCACTAATGGCATTACTGTTTACAGGAACAATGACAGAATATAAAGGCTTAATATATATATATATATATAAAGGTTTCATATAGGAAAGATTGTTAGTGCCACTGGAGACAAAAAAATACTATGTATTTAAACAGTTTGACTCCTCGTCTAGATAGGAGTCATGAAGTAAAATGAACAGAATGAACCTTACAACCTCGTGTCCACCAGGTCAGTGACTCCCTCCAAGGTAAGATTAGCACTGCATCCTAAAAAACAAGATTTTCTTTTCTATATCTTTTGGACATACAGTTCTATTTTTATTTGCGCAGCTAACTCTACCAATAACTAAACATTTTGCTTTGTAACTTAAGAAGTTAAAATCCTGCAGGTGACATTGCAGTCTTGTTTTGATACTGCAAAACAAGGCATTTCTACTATTTGAAGTATAGCAACAACACGATCCTGCTCGCTGTGTACTTTGAAACCAAGTGTGAACTGGACTTTTTTTTTTTTTTTTTTATTGGTCTTTCTTAACCTTTCCCACATGCCTATCAATAATCTCATGGACACAGGTCTTTTCATCTGTTCAGACTAGCTGTAGATAAGATGGCCTTGAAAATGCCTTTGTGAAAAAGGTGCAAAGGTTCCTTTCTGAGAAAGTAATGTGATAAGTAATGAGAACAGATTGAAAGACAAAGCCTTTCTGAAATCAGTTAAATTTACTGATGCATGAGATGTACATACAGAGAGAATGCCTTTACTACATGCAAAGTTATTCTATCTGCTTGGCGATGGGAATAGCTTCCAGCTTCAGGATGTAATCACTGATGCAGGTTGGCATGTAGGATAGCGGCAGCCAGAAGAACTTGGCGTCCCAGCCTGGGGAGTAGCGAGTGCGAGGATGGACAGCAGCCACGGCATGTTCCATGCAGCTGACCACTTTCATCAAGTCTGCATCACTCATTTTGGCAACTTTGTCAGTTAAGGTTGTTAATGCTAAAAGGGGCAAATAAATGAAATAAGAACAAATAATCAGTTGGGAACCAAAATAAATGGAAGAAGTGGTAATCCACATATACCTTTCTGTAGGTATGCCGTTCCATAATCATCTCGGACTTCCTGTGGAAGTTTATCCCAGATCATTTTAATGTTTTTGCTCAGGATAGCACTGTTGGTCACATTTGTCTTGAAGAAGCCTGGCTCAATGCAGAGGACCTTCACACCAAAAGGTGCCATATTTAACCTAAGAAGGACACTTCATCAACCCGGGAAATCTTTGTATTATCATACCAATATTTTATGAGTTCTCCTTACCTGAGGCTGTCATTGAATGCTTCAACACCGTACTTTGAGACAGTATATGGGCCCCCAACAGGACTGATCCTTCCAAACACACTGGCAACGTTCACCACCCTTCCCCTTGCCTTTTTTATGAGCGGTAGGACGCTTAGGGTCACACCAATCACCCCATTCAGGTTCACATCCAGCATGGGTTTGTAGTCATTGAGGGTCAGCCAGTCACATGGGGCACTGGGAATGGAGATGCCGGCATTGTTCACTACAGCCCACAGGCCTAAAATAATGACAAAGAGCACATACAGTCTACTGAAATTCATCTGTTCTTGACCAGTAATGTTTTATGTGCACTAGCAACAGTAGTTGATCGACATTCAAATGGGAAAAATAACTCAAAGCGAAATTATTCTGCTCAAGTCCAGGTCCATATTTTTATCCCTAAACTCTACTACAGTCAGGCTGCATGACAGAGTTTAGAATAAACCCTGCTTATCTCATACTGGTTCTTATCTGTATGTTTGTAAAAGCAAACTCAGTCTCCTCCTACTATAAGACCCTCCTATCATTAGCTTTCTTCTGACTGGCTGCCTGGGATGACCATATTATGCTTCCAAGGAGCCAGACATTCTTTTTAATAGTTGAGCAATAGTTCTGCAGGCTTTCTGGAGGTCTTTAAATTTTTTTCTTTGGACATTTGGACCCTAAAGGGACCCCAGAGAGTACTGCGCAGTATCTTAGGACTGTGCTCTTCTGGACAGAGATCTGGGATTTTATTCCTGGGACTTGCTGCAGCCACTCACCTAGCTGGAGTTCATAGTAGCATTCCCACAGCACCCTGTTACCATCACTTCCCCATTTCTCATTGTAGATACATATTGAAGACATCTAATATATGAAGCAAGATATATGGAATTATGTAGCAAAGAGAAAATTAATAAATAACTCTAAATACGTCTTATATTGTAGATTCCTGAAAGTAGCCACCCTTTACTACTTTCAGGGTTGACATCACAGTAAACCGTTGGCCTTTTGTCAATGAGCTTCATGATGTATTCACCTCAAATGGTTTTCACTTCACAGGTGTGCCTTGTCAGGGTTCATTTGTGAAATTTCTTGCTTTCTTAATGGGGTTGGGACCATCAGTTGTGTTGGTCAGGTTGGTACACTGCTGACAGCCCTATTTGACAACCGTTAGAATTCATTTTATGGCAAGAACTAATCAGCTAATTAAAAAGAAACGAAAGTACATCATTACTTTAAGGACTGAAGGTCAGTCAGTACAGAATATTGCAAAAACTTTGAATGTGTCCCCAAGTGCAGTCGCAAAAACCATCATGCGCTACGATGAAACTGGCTCACAAGACGACTGCCCCAGAAAAGGAAGACCAAGTGTCACCTCTGCTGCTGAGGAAAAATTCATCCGAGTCACCAGCCTCAGAAGTCACAAGTTAACAGCACCTCAGATTAGAGCCCAAATAAATGCCACACAGAGTTCCAGTAGCAGACACATGCATAGTTCTCACTGTAAAGCATGGAGGAGTAGGTGTGATGCTTTACTGTTGACACTGTTGGGGATTTATTCAAAATTGAAAGCACACTGAATCAGCATGGCTACCACAGCATCCTGTGGGATGAGATGGACTGCAGAGTGAAGACAAAAGGGCCAATGAGTGCTCAGCATCTCTGGGAAATCCTTCAAGCTTGTTGGAAAACCATTTCAGGTGATGACCTCATGAAGCTCATTGAGAGAATGCCAAGAGTGTGCAAAGGAGTAATCAAAGCAAAGGGTGGATATTTTGAAGAATCAAACAACTAAAACATGTTTTGAGTTATTTCACACTTTTGTCTTTACTACATAATTCCACGTGTTCATTCAGAGTTTTGATGCCTTCAGTGAGAATCTACAATGTAAACAGTCATGAAACTGGAGAAAAAACCTTAAATGAAATCTTGTATCTGAGCAGCAGGATTTTAAATTTGTTCTGAATTTAACAGGGAGCCAATGAAGAGACGCGAATATAGGAGGAATATGCTCTCTATTTCTAGTCCCTGTGAGTCCTCTTGCTGCAGCATTTTGGATTAACTGGAGGCTTTTCAGGGAGTTTTTAGGACATCTTGATAATAATGAATTACAGTAGTCCATCCTAGAAGTAATAAATGCATGAACTAGTTTTTCAGCATCACTCCGAGACAGGAGATTTCTAACTTTAGAGATTTTGCACAAATGGATGTGCACAATATTGTCACATAATAAACTTAGGAATTAAATAAAAATTTTCTAACTGGGATGTTGGATCTTGGAACAAGCTTTTTAACTAGTTGTTTAGTCCTATGTACCCACATAATCCACCATTTGCGCTTCCTGTCATATGGAGTGTTACTAGCAGAGTTTCAGTGATGCTCAGTGGAGTCCTTTATTTACATTTGGGTCGCACATAGCTGCTGGCATCTCCTCCTTCATACCCTGGTTGTACTTGGTATAATCTGTTTCTGCCTTGAGTGCTGAAACATATTTGTTGCTTCCACCTTCAAGCAAGAACAGTTTTTTGCATATTTTGCAAAGTACTTTATTGGAGGTTGTTGAAGCAGCTCTCTTTTAGGTATTCAAATTGTTGCTGACACATGTGCCTGGGCTTCCGTCATACGTGCACATACTAAGGAAAGTTAACATGTGGCATTGCTATTAGAGTGATATCAGGCTATTACATTTTTATATCAGTTAAAAATGTATACATGTCTTCTGCAATAATACCTGTATACATTTTTATATCACTTAAAAATGTATACAGGTATTATTGCAGAAGACATGATATGGCACAGTCCTACCAGGAAATGTACAGTTGGTGAGACCTCTGTGATTTTCAACCATTTATTTATTTTTTACCAGTTGGCATAAAGAAAAAGAAGATCCTATAGACTTACTTGGTCTTAATGGTGCTATTGAAAGTCAGAGGTCACAAACATAAACAGCACTCAAACTCTGTGGGGAAACAGCTATTTAAATGAAGTGCAGGTATTTCCACCAAATAAAACTTACCACGTGCCCCAACCATATCCTTGATCATTGCCGCAACTTTGTCAATGCTTTCCTGAGAACTAACATCCAGATGAGTTGTGATCAGGTTGCTGGAGCAGGACTTCTTTAGATCCTCTTCTCCTTTCTCAGTGAAACAAGAGGCAATCACTCGAAAGCCCTGCTTGTCAAGATGCCGGGCCAGAAGATTCCCAAAGCCACTGTCGCAGCCTGTGATGTACACATACTTGCTGTTTTTGTCAGAGACCCTGGGGAGCTCTCTGATCCAACGGTACAGGTAGTAGAGAACCACCAGGCCCAGAAGGTACAGGTACATGACTGGAAGGACAAAGGAACGTATGTTTACTCGTTACTGGCTGTTTTAACAAAGTGAACAGAGTAAGCCACATGACAACACTGTTGTGTAAGGCCAACTTTAAGGTACCTCTGCATGTTTGATTTGGCTTTCTTTTTTCTTAATAACAGAAGCCAGTGTTCTTTTCGTCGACAGTCCCAAGCCCAAGTCTCATGGCCAAAGTTAACAGTGAAGGCATCCATGTGCTGAGCAACAGGATTCATGGTTAAGCAGTGGCCTGCTGGAGGTCATTTTGTATCTGAGCAAACGATCAGGAACAGACTTGATGAGGGTGGCCTGAGGGTCCGACGTCCTCTGACAGACTAACAAACTCAAGTTAGTGTTTAATTTGGGGCAGGGATAGCTCAGTAGGTAAAGTGGTCGCCCCATGATCGGAAGGTCGGCGGTTCGAATCCACTTAACGGCTACCCTGAGGTACCCCTGAGTAAGGTACCGTCCCTACACACTGCTCCCCGGGCGCCTGCTTAGTGGGCTGCCCACTGCTTCACTGAGTGAATGGGTCAAATGCAGAGAAAAACAAGTAATTTCCCCATGGGGATCAATAAAGTATCCATTATTAATTTGAACTGGGTGTTCTCCCAGTGTATGTGTTGGTGTTCTTAAGGTCAGTCATTGCAAACAAGGCCTGTGCAGGTGTACACCCTGTATGAACCTCATACAGTTCAAATTGGGAGAAAAGCTAAAATAAATGTGCTAATTATAACTGACATCTAAATGAACTTTTGCTATTAACAGAGGGCAAAAAAAGACGACTGTAAAGTTAGGCTTGGTTGTACTTAATAACATGATATTAATAATCATGATTAAACGTATTCAACTTATTAAAGATTACTTTGAGCTGAACCAAAGTAGGTGACATGGATTCAAAATGGTTTATGCTACAAGTCTGTGTCCCCCCATTAAATTAAGCTAAACTAAACTTATTTAAAGAATTCCCAGTGTTCCAGGCTTCACTGTCTTGTTCCAGATGTTGCATCTGCAGATTCATCATTTTAATTATTAATCATTTGTTTGTAAATGCTGGTAAGTAAATGCTGTTTATTTCAGCATACAACTATTCAATTCAGTTCAATTCAATTTTTTAGTATAGCTCCAACAAGAGCTGCCCCAAGGTGCTTTACATTGTACTGTAAAGGCAAATACTTGTTGGCAGTGGGAAGAAAAAAAAAAAACTCTCTTTTAACAGGAAGAAACCTCCAACAAAACCAGACTCTGGTAGGGGCGGCCATCTGCAGCCACAGTTACCAGTTTACAGAAGTGCATGTCTGTGACAATACATCATAAAACATTACGTGGTTAAAAAATAAATGCATTTCATTGATTAAACTCGTAATTGTACGGTGTAGCGTATAATTGTAGTGGCTTACAATATAAAGCGACTAGAGGCAACTGTTGTGTTCCCAGGGAGCCTCCCTCTCTTAATGCACTATGGAGCATATCAAATCAGTGCCTTCCTCTCCTCTATACATGAAGCGTAAGGCTCAGACATTCCTATGATTATGCCTTTTCCTGTTAGTTTGCATTTGTGGGAGCTGATTTCTTTAACCGCTCTTTACAGAGACTTTTTTTTTGCCCTCTACCTGCTCAGTTTGAAGGAAGAGTCCACGGCCAACATTGTTCATTATTTTAAATAAAAAACAAACAAACTCAGTGACGATGTTAGGTCGTCTAAAGTTAATTAAACTTGCAGCTAAACGCACTTCATTTAAAGTCCGCCTCTAAATGTTCACAGATGTGACCAATTTACGACTACAAACTTTTGGAGTTTATTTGTTGACTGGTTGAAATAGTTGACGTGGAATCCAGCTGACCTGGAAGATGGGACTTGGACGCTTCTTTGCTCAATGTGACAGCAGAACAAAGCTGGGGGTCATATGGAACAGAGTTCAAAGTACATTAACTCGAAGTTTCTTAACCCTTTTGAAACAAATATTAAAGCGTCCACCAAACGTACTGAAAATGTAACACTATTCATCTACTCAGCTACTGACTTATGCCAGTAATGTGCTGTCAGTACACGGGATTTCTTACCTGATCCGAAGAAGATTTCACAGACAGTTTGTGACAATGTACGTACCCCCAACTGAGTTTGTTACCCCTGCATCCTGGGTATGGATGAGGAGGATAAACTCACTGTGGCTCGTGCCCGTAAGATCCAGCGTTTCCTGTCTCAGCCATTCCAAGTGGCCAAGGTCTTCACTGGCCACGAGCCACAGTGAGTGGTCAGTTTGCCCTGGGGCAGTCTGACAGATGGCGCGATATGTCCCTCTGGCCAACACCAGTAGGCGGTAGGGTAAAGTGTCTTGCCCAAGGACACAACGACCAGGACAGAGAGCCCGAGGATCAAACCGGCGACCTTCCGGTTACAGATTCGCTTCCCAACCCCCTGAGCCACGGTCGCCCCCACAGAAGCGTTATACAAATGACCACTCTAGATCTCAAACTGCTGTCAGACGCCAGCAGGGACTATATGAATATAAGAATAAACAAAAGCGTGAAGGTACTACCTAAATACAGAGTTTTGGCTCTAAATCTGGTTTTATTAGAAAGCACTAATGGCATTACTGTTTACAGGAACAATGACAGAATATAAAGGCTTAATATATATAAAGGTTTCATATAGGAAAGATTGTTAGTGCCACTGGAGACAAAAAAAATACTATGTATTTAAACAGTTTGACTCCTCGTCTAGATAGGAGTCATGAAGTAAAATGAACAGAATGAACCTTACAACCTCGTGTCCACCAGGTCAGTGACTCCCTCCAAGGTAAGATTAGCACTGCATCCTAAAAAACAAGATTTTATCTTTTCTATATCTTTTGGACATACAGTTCTATTTTTATTTGCGCAGCTAACTCTACCAATAACTAAACATTTTGCTTTGTAACTTAAGAAGTTAAAATCCTGCAGGTGACATTGCAGTCTTGTTTTGATACTGCAAAACAAGGCATTTCTACTATTTGAAGTATAGCAACAACACGATCCTGCTCGCTGTGTACTTTGAAACCAAGTGTGAACTGGACTCTTTTTTTTTTTATTGGTCTTTCTTAACCTTTCCCACATGCCTATCAATAATCTCATGGACACAGGTCTTTTCATCTGTTCAGACTAGCTGTAGATAAGATGGCCTTGAAAATGCCTTTGTGAAAAAGGTGCAAAGGTTCCTTTCTGAGAAAGTAATGTGATAAGTAATGAGAACAGATTGAAAGACAAAGCCTTTCTGAAATCAGTTAAATTTACTGATGCATGAGATGTACATACAGAGAGAATGCCTTTATTACATGCAAAGTTATTCTATCTGCTTGGCGATGGGAATAGCTTCCAGCTTCAGGATGTAATCACTGATGCAGGTTGGCATGTAGGATAGCGGCAGCCAGAAGATGGGACTTGGACGCTTCTTTGCTCAATCCGACAGCAGAACAAAGCTGGGGTCATATGGAACGGAGTTCAAAGTACATTAACTCGAAGTTTCTTAACCCTTTTGAAACAAATATTAAAGCGTCCACCAAACGTACTGAAAATGTAACACTATTCATCTACTCAGCTACTGACTTATGCCAGTAATGTGCTGTCAGTACACGGGATTTCTTACCTGATCCGAAGAAGATTTCACAGACAGTTTGTGACAACGTACGTATCCCCAACAGAGTTTGTTACCCTGCATCGGGAGCGCGCACTGTACAGGGAGAGCCGATCCAGTTGACCCCGCCTACTAGTTTAGTCTTTTCTGTTCTTTCTTTCTTCTTTCTTTCAGTTGTATTGGCGGTTGGCAAACAATTGAAAGGTGCATTACCGCCACCAACTGGTATGTAGTATGGTCTGGAACGACGCTCAAAAAAAAAAAAATCCTTCCAAACAGGTTCCCCTCTCTTAAAAACTGAAATAAGGCCTGATAACTTTTACTTCCCGATTCCTTTCGCAACAAATCAACCAAATCCAGTGTGATTTTTAGGTTACTAAGATTTTGAATCAAATGTCTCCTCTCAACCTGATACCTCTGACACTGCAACATGTCATGTTCTACAGTTTCCTCTACCCCACAGTAATCACATTTGCCAGTACTATGTTTCCCTATCATGAATAACGTATTATTCAAGCCAGTATGTCCAAATCTCAGTCTGGATATGATCACCTCCTCCCTCCTAGTCCGTCCTGCATTCCTCATTCCTCCCACCCTCCTTTGAATCTTACAGGGAGTGCAGAATTATTAGGCAAGTTGTATTTTTGAGGAATAATTTTATTATTGAACAACAACCATGTTCTCAATGAACCCAAAAAACTCATTAATATCAAAGCTGAATGTTTTTGGAAGTAGTTTTTAGTTTGTTTTTAGTTTTAGCTATTTTAGGGGGATATCTGTGTGTGCAGGTGACTATTACTGTGCATAATTATTAGGCAACTTAACAAAAAACAAATATATACCCATTTCAATTATTTATTTTTACCAGTGAAACCAATATAACATCTCCACATTCACAAATATACATTTCTGACATTCAAAAACAAAACAAAAACAAATCAGCGACCAATATAGCCACCTTTCTTTGCAAGGACACTCAAAAGCCTGCCATCCATGGATTCTGTCAGTGTTTTGATCTGTTCACCATCAACATTGCGTGCAGCAGCAACCACAGCCTCCCAGACACTGTTCAGAGAGGTGTACTGTTTTCCCTCCTTGTAAATCTCACATTTGATGATGGACCACAGGTTCTCAATGGGGTTCAGATCAGGTGAACAAGGAGGCCATGTCATTAGTTTTTCTTCTTTTATACCCTTTCCTGCCAGCCACGCTGTGGAGTACTTGGACGCGTGTGATGGAGCATTGTCCTGCATGAAAATCATGTTTTTCTTGAAGGATGCAGACTTCTTCCTGTACCACTGCTTGAAGAAGGTGTCTTCCAGAAACTGGCAGTAGGACTGGGAGTTGAGCTTGACTCCATCCTCAACCCGAAAAGGCCCCACAAGCTCATCTTTGATGATACCAGCCCAAACCAGTACTCCACCTCCACCTTGCTGGTGTCTGAGTCGGACTGGAGCTCTCTGCCCTTTACCAATCCAGCCACGGGCCCATCCATCTGGCCCATCAAGACTCACTCTCATTTCATCAGTCCATAAAACCTTAGGAAACCAGTCTTGAGATATTTCTTAGCCCAGTCTTGACGTTTCAGCTTGTGTGTCTTGTTCAGTGGTGGTCGTCTTTCAGCCTTTCTTACCTTGGCCATGTCTCTGAGTATTGCACACCTTGTGCTTTTGGGCACTCCAGTGATGTTGCAGCTCTGAAATATGGCCAAACTGGTGGCAAGTGGCATCTTGGCAGCTGCACGCTTGACTTTTCTCAG